GCCAGTGGCTTGCTGGTTCATGTTTTGGGGCCACTGGGTCAGGGGCCCCGGTGGCCACTGCTGGCTCTGGGCTGGCAGGCTTGGAGCTGGCACAGGCACTGTGGCCAGGGTCTACCCCTTTAATGGCTCGGGAGCTGGGGGAGAGGAGAATAAGTTTTCCTGGTTGTACCCAGAGTGGCCACCAGGGCTCCCTGGGAAGGGCTGTAGACCCCCTATTTTGAATTAAGTGTCTACACAGCACTTAATTCCAAATAGCTCATTTACTCCTCATAGAATGAGGTTTACCAAATTTGAAATAAGGGCTCCACTATTTCAAATATATTTCGAAATAGCGGTTTGCCTGTGTAGACGCTATTCAAGTTAATTCAAAATAACTGCTGTTATTTCAAATTAACTTTGTAGTGTAGACATACCCTAACAGATTTCATACTCCTGGCATGAATCCCCCCCGCTTTAGTAGTTTGTGGAAGTAGGTGGTTTATTGCTACACACAGTCACCATGCTTCTCCTAAATAGGCCAAAACTCTAGTGCCAATAGTATTGAGCGAGACAATTAATGGAAGATGCTTTGCACACTGCAGACTAGTAGTAGAAAAGGGAAAGCTCCCTCATGGATGGGTGAAGATTAATCATTGGGTTCAGAACTGAAACCTAAAAGAATTGCTCTACTACTCTATTAATTCTCTTGCCACCAGTGTGGCTTGGGGTCCTAGCCAGGCTTGATCTAACCTCAGTGGAATGACTCCAGTTGACATTAACAGTGCTAAATCAGACTCCCCTAAAAGAAAATTTTGGGGGGTGCAGGGCAGACCAGGTAGTACCCTTTCTCCCTTGCTCCTCAGCTGGTGCAGCATACCTTCCATTAGTTACAATCATTGGCTACAATCAACTAGCTATCCAAAGGATATGCTGCAAACACACAATGCTGCCCATCTACGTGGGGGTGCTACACTGTGTGCATATGAATATTTTCATCGGTCAGCTCAAAAGTAGAAAGCCTCCTGTAAGCCGAAATAAGAGCACAGAGATAACAAGGTAGGCGTGGTCCTAAAGCCATCTAGTCACCCCATAATCACCAGATTTGCCACCTTCCCCAACTGGAATGTGGGGGGGAACTGACAGCACCCACATCCCCATCCAGGTCTCCGACCACTGGGCATCAGATTATATCAACCGGAATGGGTACTTCTCCATGGTCCTGCAAGCCATCGTGGACCACCAAGGCTGCTTCACCAACATCATCTTTGGGTGGCTGGGGAAGGTGCACAACGCCTGAATCTTAAGGAACTTCAGCATTTTCCAGAAGATGCACGCTGGCACTTTTTTCCCTGACTGTACCACAGGGTCGGGGACGTGAACGTGAACATGCCCACGTGCACAGTGGGGGATGCAGCCTACCCTATGCTCCCCTGGCTTATAAAGCCCTACATTGGACACCTGGACCAAAGCAAGGGAAGTTTCAATTGTAGGCTCAGCAGAGCCTGAGTTGTTGTGGAGGACGCCTTCAGCTGCCTCAAAGGGAGGTTCTACTGTCTCCTCACCTGGCTGGACCTCAGCGAGCAGACTGTCCCCCAAGTGCTGGCAGCCTGCTGTGTCCTGCACAATATATGTGAGAACAAGGGGGAGATGTTCCTGCCAGGGTAGGGGGCAGAAGCTGAGCAGCTTGCAAGGGTCTTTCGACAGCCATGCATGGCTACCGTCTGACAGGCCCACTAGGGGCTGTGCATATCCGGGAGGCCCAGAGGGAGTGTTTCAGCTAGGGCCAGCTATGAGACTCTCTCCCAGGCCTCTCCAAAGGGGCCTCTGCATTGTCCCTGTGTGACTCTCCTCCCATATCGTCCCTTCCACCTCTCCTTCCCCTTCCCTCCCCAGCAGATACAATAAATGAGGCTGTGTTTTGATCCAATACACTAGTTTTTTTTATTTGGAGTAAATGAGACTGGGGAGAAGGGGCTCAGGGATGGGACTGGGATTGGTGCCTGCCTTGGGTGGTCCCACTGCCTCATGTGCAGAGTCCCTCGGTGGCCACAGGGGTGGGTTAGAGGGAAAAGCCAGAAGGACAGGGGGAGGGGAAGGGCAGGGGCTGGAGTTCAGGGGGGGCAGTGGCTGCTGGACCCAGGAAGTCAATGGTGCCAGGCCTGCTGCAACAGCTCCTGCCATGTGGTACAGCGCGGCTCCAGGTACAACCTCTGGGTCTGCTGCAGGGCATGTAGGCAGGCAATGTGCTCTGGCTCAGGGTCTTCCCAGGGTTGCTGGCATCTGTGGGTCTCACGGGGTCAGGAGGCTGGCGTGGGAGGTGTGGCTTGTGCCCCACTCTCAGCTGGGCCAGCTGTGGATAAAAGTGACAAGGGCAGTCATCCCAGGTGACACTGTGCTTGAAGCCCAGCCCTAATCCCTGAGCCAGCACCAAAAGGTCCCGGGTCAGATGATGGCAACGTGCTTTGAGCAAGGCCATATGTGGCTGGGACACTGGGCACTTTCCAGCAGTTGCACAGATGTCTCAGGGGAGCCTCATTACCCACACGGCCCAGGGACAAGCAGGTATAGGAAGGTGCCGGCCAGGCACAGAGCCTGTGGGTGGAAGTGGGGAGTGGGGCGGCTCGGCTTCCCTCTGTGCTGCACCCACCAGGTCTGGCAGTGGCAGTGTTGCACAAGGAGAGGACTTCTATCCCTGCCTGCTGGAGGAGAAGGGGAAGGGGGTTGTGGGAGGTGTGTGAGCGGCAGATGCTACTTGTCGAGGAGGGTGCTACTGGGATCCCCTCCTTTTTCTCCCCTAGCAGGCTTCCCAGGCAGTGACTCGGTGTCCTCCACCTTGACACTTTGCATGGGAGTGGATGCTGCCCCGAGAGTGTGGGCATGAGTCTATGCTGTGTGTCCCTGTCCCCAATCTCCTTAGTGGTGGCTTATGGTGGGAAGGGGGCCCACTACGGGGTCAGAAGTAACTTGGGTCTGTGCAGGAACCCTGCGAGCAGAAGGGAAAGTTTCCTTTGTGGCAGCCTCATTGCAACTGAGAGCTCCAGACTGGTGCTCTCCACGTGCACAGGCTACAGTGCAACACCCAGGCCGAAAAGGCCCCACCACTGCAAATGTCTAGGGAAAGTGATGGAACTCACCTCAGGGGCCTTTCCCGGTCTCGTCTGAGCCCTGGCGACATCCTGGGAGGGGGGTACCAGCTCCAGGGACAGGCTGACTCCTGGCTGGTGGGCATGGTGGTGTCAGTGCTGGCCTCCTCCTCCTCCTCTCTCTCTTCCACCTCCTTGTCATCCATGCCCATGGGCCTGCCCTCTGGGAGGCTGACGATGGGTGTCTCCAGCCCAGAGTCCATATTGGAGAGGTGGGGGAAGGGACTGACCCTTGTCCCAGGATGCAGTGGAGCTGTTCATAATAGGGGCATGACTGAGGTGCCGCCTCTGAGTGGAAGCACCGCTCCCTGGCCTTCGTGTACGCCTGTCTCAGCTCCTTGATTTTCATGCACACTGCTCCTGAGTGTGCATGTGTCCCTTCTGGCCCAGGCTGTTGGCCATATGGTCGTAGATGTCAGTATTACTGCACCTGGGGTGGAGATCCCGGATCTCAATGAGATCCGAGATCTCTGCACCAGAACAAGATGAGCCCTCCTCTTCCACACCCAGATAGGGGCTTGAGAGCTAACTGTATCTGTGCTAGCAGCTGTGGGGAGCTCAGAGGGCATGCTTGGGTCTGCCATGGGAGCAGGGAAGGCAGAGCAGGGTGCTGCTGTGTGGCACGGTGCTAGCAGGGCTCATGTTGTGCCACAGTTTCCCCTGTGGCTGCACCTTTAAGGGCTGCAGGGGATGATCAGTGTAGACAGAGTGGTTGTGAGAAGCCTTGCGGGCCACTTATTTTGAAATACCCCCAGCTGCACTGTCTACACACACCCTATAACTATTTCAAAATAGGCAGTATTCCTTATGAAATTGGGGTTACTGATTTGGAATAAGAAGCCCGTTATTTCAAAATTATTTCAAAATAACGGTTTTGCTGTCTAGACGCTCACCTTGTGAGTTATTCCGAAATAACACTGCAACGTAGACATGCCCCAAGGTTCCACAGGACTACTCATTTTTATATTTACATCTGTGCATATTCCTGATCCCAAACACAATCATCATCATCATCCTCCTGTATGTCTTCCTTATGGCTACTTCTGGGTTATAGCCAGGAAGAACTTTTTACCTCCCTTCCCCTGTATGCTGAAAATCTCTTCAAACCTCTCTTTCATGGTTTTCCGAACTCTCTGATCAGAGTGAGGCAGCTACACCATGGGAATTTATCACCACTGTCCTCTGTCACCTCCAGTGGTTTCCCATCCATTTCCCAATATTCTACTCATGCTGAATTCCCACTGTGTGAATGCCAACTCCTCACGGCCTTCCCTCGCTTGAGGTGATGGTTTTACTTATGCAGCCATCTTGCCAAACCGCTTCTGAGCCTGAAACCTTATATCTTCTCAACCATAATAACTTTTTTGTCCACTTCATCTATGTAAATTATAAGAGGCTGTGGACTAAGGAGACTAAAGAGGCCAACAAACACAAAACACGATCTTAAATCTAAGTATGTATCTTCAAAGGGGATTATACAATGCTCACTGATTTTTCCTCATACATAGTATTGCTAAGGCTGCCCTGAGTCCAGCACTATATAAGATCCTTTGAGTTGGAATTGCATAAGAATGAGTAGTAAAACATACTAGATATCATGACAGAGTGCATTGTTTCCCTGATAACAGATTATTCTGCTGAACAATCACACAAGATGGATGTCTGGTCCTGAAAACAACAACTGAGGATAAAAAGATTTTTTCTGGGTTTTTAACATCTCCAATTCCTCATTTATTACCATGAATAACTCAAATACATATGTATCTTTTATGGTAGAAACTGGGTTAAAGGTATCTCAACAGGCCTTTGAATAAAAGGAATGCAAACAAAGGCCACTGTACAAATAGAAAATTCAATTGATTCTAAGGCTTTACTTACTAGATTGCATTTTTCTTCTCCAATTCTGGTATTTATTCAGTGTAGAGGAGTGGAAACTGTTGGCTCTTTGCAATGCTTCAGAGAAATCGGAAAGAGACATTGTTAACAAGCTAAGCAAATAGAAGGTGTTATTACAAAACTAGACTTTGTATAAAACTAGTTTAAACATAGTAAAAGAGCCATAATGCCTTTACAAAAGACTGCAATTGTTTTATTTTGAAAGAAGCAGAGGACATGTTCCCCCTCTTCTCTGAAGCCCTGCTGTTTCTGCCCTCCAAATTACCTCCACCCTTCTTGTGCTTCCTGCTGCTGTTTTGGTGAAGTAAAATCCTACCGGAGGCACAGACCTAGCTGAAAATTAAACTGAGGGGCAGTTACTGTCTGACCTTTTCCTCCTCCTCTCCCATGAGGACTGACTTATTTTACTGCAGGGGTGGGGAACCCAAGACCTGGGGACAGATGTGGCCCCTGCCTTGCCTGGCCCTGGCCCCTGAGACTCAGGGCTCTTCCCCAGCATTGGGGAGCCCATATTGGTGCTCCTGGCCCCCCACCATCTCCCCACAGGACCACACAAGCTGTACTAGTCTGGGTCCCCCAAGCTCTGGTGTGCAAGGGGAATGTGGGGGTGTCTTTGTGCTTTCATCAGGGGCCATGTCAGGAAAATAAAAAAAAAACCCTCACTTTCTCACTTGTGTGAGCCCAGCTCCCACCCTCTGATTTTTCTGCAGGTCAGTGGCTCTCAATCCAAAAAAGTTTCCACATCCCTGTTCTATGGACTCATGCAGTATGTCAAATGTGGCTCTATCACAGTGTGCTAATGCTGTACCACTGAGAAAATAATTCTAACTATTATAAGGTAAATGGCAGTTGCTATATGACTCCCTCCCCATCCTGGTAAATTCATCAGGTATGATTAACAATCAGTTGCTCTGAGCAGCTGGAGTGAACGCAGCTGCTTTTAAAAAAATGCAGATTTTGCCAATAGAGGGCAATACTCACCAGCAAATGTTAATCACAAAGCTGAGCCTTAAAATTATTTTATTTGCATTCTCCCTCACATGTTATAGCTCACTTTTCCAAAATTGTTTACATCACAAAAGCCCATTTGTATTGCATAGGTCAGGTCTAGTGTGTCACTGTTCTTACGCTCATAAGCTTGTATATGAAACACCCAACACCCAGGCTGCATCTATACTGCACCCTTCTTTCGCAAAAGCTTATGCAAATGAAGCGCAGAGTAGAATATCTCTATGTTTCATTTGCATAATTAATTAGAGGCTGTTTTTGTGCAAGAGGCTTTTGCGCGAAAAGGAGCTGTGTAGACGGCTCCTTTTCACACAAAACTCCCTCTTGTGCAAGAGCTGTTCTTCCTGAAAAAATGAGGAAGAACGGCTCTTGCACAAGAGGTGTTTTTTGTGCAAAAAGGAGCCGTCTACACAGCTCTTTTTTGTGCAAAAGCCTCTTGCACAAAAACGGCCGCTAAATAATTATGCAAATGAAGCACCACAATATTCTACTCCGCGCTTCATTTGCATAAGCTTTTGTGGAAGAAGAGTGCAGTATAGACGTAGCCCCGGAGTCCAAACAATGCTTATTTTTAAAAGACATTTCACCTTTGAATAGTGACACACAAAATGCAGTAAAACCCTGGCCATACCACTTTCTTCTGTCAAGGCCCACAAAGGGTTCTCCAAGGCCTCAGAATGTTATGATGAAAACACACAATGCAATACAGCTTCTTCAGAGACATTTTAAAAGAGCTATTCAACAAATTCCAGTTCTGAATTCCTCCTCTGAACTCCAGACAGAGCCACCTATCTCGAGCTATACAACTCTGAATCACCTCCACTCTGGTTACAACTTTTCCCTCATTGTATTATTAATGGAGGAAAAACATTTGGTAAGTCACAAATCTAGCAATAAATTAAATTAAGCAGCCTCAGAGCTCCCTGAGAGGACTCTGATTCAGCCCTGCTATGCCTAGGCCACGCAGCTTGTATTGTATGGGCCTCTAACAGTATCCCAACCTCATGTCTCAAGGAAAGATTTTATCTCCATTTGAGCTAAGTATGGGGACAGAACTGCTTTACCTTGATACCAAGGCATTGTTGTCTGTTTCAGTAGCATCCTCTAGAGTAGATAATGTCACTGCTTTTTAATATTGCCAACCCTTCAAGATTGTCCTGAAGTCTCCAGATATTAAAAGATAATTATTTAATTAAAGAGGTCACATGTGATGAAACGTCAAGGACACAAACCAAAACTGGCTACCCTAATTGTGCCAACTCTCATGACACTATCCAGAAACCAAGAACAGAATTAAGAATTCTGTGATGCCCTGAACTGAACAGCTCCATTGCACGGCCTATCTTAATGCTGCTGGATCGTTGGGGTTTTGTTATTTGATTGAAACAATGTCTAAAGAGGAGTCTGTTGGATCCTGTTGCAGTATCCAGAGGCAGAGATGCATCACAAGAAATCCTCCATAGAACTGAAGATTACAGGCAGTCCCCGGGTTACGTACAAGATAGGGACTGTAGGTTTGTTCAGCCGCTGCTGAAACTGACCGCCAGTTCTGACTTACATACAGATTCAACTTAAGAACCCCAAGTCAGCTGCTGCTGAAACTGATCAGCGGCTGATTCCAGGAAGCCCGGGGCAGAGTTCTGAAATTAGTGAGGGACAGTTCTGGCTGCCTGAACCTGTATCCTACACAAAGCTCCTAAGTAAGCATGCGTCGCAGACCCCGAGTTCCATGAAAGAAGAGGAGCGCCGTGAAAAGTCCAAAGCTGCTGATGGTAAGAAAATATGCTGTAAATAAATTAGTCAAAACCAGTCATGCTCCAGCTACTTAGCAAATTTGCTATATAAGGGTGTTGTCAAAGAAAATAGGATCTTGTTGGTATTATCAGTGATGCAGTAAGTCTATACAGGCAGTCCCCGACTTACGCGGATCCGACTTACGTCAGATCCGCACTTACGAACGGGGCTTTCTCGCCCCGGAGCTCGCAGGCAGCGATCAGCCACCTCGACCTCCGGGGCGAGAAAAGCTGCTCCCGGTGCCCCTGGTCTGCTGGGGACCGTCTCTGGCTGACCAGGGGCATCGGGAGCAAAGCCGCAGCCCCAGCGGGTTTGCTCGCAGTGCCCCTGGTCTGCTGGGGATGGTCCCCAGCAGACCAGGGGCACCGGGAGCAGCTTTTCTCGCCCCGGAGGTCGAGGTGGCTGATCGCTGCCTGCGAGCTCCGGGGCGAGAAAGCCCCGTTCGTAAGTGCGGATCTGACGTAAGTCGGATCCGCGTAAGTCGGGGACTGCCTGTATAGACTTACTGCATCACTGATAATACCAACAAGATCCTATTTTCTTTGACAACACCCTTATATAGCAAATTTGCTAAGTAGCTGGAGCATGACTGGTTTTGACTAATTTATTTACAGCATATTTTCTTACCATCAGCAGCTTTGGACTTTTCACGGCGCTCCTCTTCTTTCATGGAACTCGGGGTCTGCGACGCATGCTTACTTAGGAGCTTTGTGTAGGATACAGGTTCAGGCAGCCAGAACTGTCCCTCACTAATTTCAGAATTGGATGAGTCACCATAAAAATCAGATTCCAACTCTGAACTAAAAACATAAATGAGAAAGTCGAACGTTTTAGAAAACATGTGCAATGGATTTAATTCTAATGTGTCCCCTTTACTGTCAGGGTTTATTGAATTAAATTAGGTACAACTGCCTCCATCCCCACAGGTGATTTGGGCGATAGGAATGTCATTTGCTGACAGTGCTATGTGCCTAAAATTGCAATAGTCTCAACAGTTTTATAATTCTGATTAAGACCATGCTGGCCATAGACCAGGGGCCTCAAACTCACAGCCCACAGGCCATCTGCAGCCTGAGGAGTACCACAAACCAGCCCGCATGTGGCTGCTGGCACGGGTCCATCCCCTTCCCCAAATCCAACCCCTGCGCCGCCCTCTTCCCTCCCCATTGCACCCCTTCCCTCAAGCCCTCCCTGTTGAGGGACAAAGCTTCAAAGATTACCAGGGGGCCTGGCACAGGGTGCCAGCAGGGGTTGCCCCCCCCCATAACCACAGTAGCAGGAGCAGAGTACAGGGGACCACCCCATCCATACGACAGCTGAGACAGCTGCCGCAGGGCCTGGGACAGCCATGCTGAATTGTCCTACAGATGGGCCAGTGCTGCACACACCAAAGGTTAACCTGTAGGGGAACACTTCAATCTTCCTGGACACACAATTGCAGATCTAAAAGTAGCCATCCTGCAGCAAAAAAACTTCAGGACCAGACTTCAAAGAGAAACTGCTGAGCTACAGTTTCTGAGCTTTTGCTGAGCTACAGTTCATCTTTAAGTTTGACACAATCAACTCTGGATTAAACAAAGACTGTGAATGGCTTGCTAACTACAAAAGCAGCTTCTATTCTCTTGGAATTCACACCTCCAGATCAGCTGCTAGAAGTGGGCCTCATCCTCCTTGATTGGATCCACCTGGTCATCTCCAGCCTGATCCTGGCCTGCATATTTATTCCTGCCTCTGGAAATTTCCACTACATGCATCTGACGAAGTGGGTCTTTGCCCACGAAAGCTTATGCTCCTACACTTCAGTTAGTCTATAAGGTGCCACAGGACTCCTCATCGCTTCTGCAGATTCAGACTAACACGGCTACCCCTCTGATACTTGAAAGAGCATTGTTCACCCAAGTATAATACCAGCCATGGCAGTGCAATATGGTGTGACTAGACTATTTATTGTTTTTTTTTAAAATGGTCAGGTTTGAAGTGAAAGTAAATGAGTGTGCAGCTCTCCCAAGAGCTGGCTTAGCTGCAGTAAAAGCCAGCAGGGAGCAACCTAAAGAACTAGCAGCAACCTGGGTTGCAATAGGACAGTACCTGTAAGAAATGTCAAATTACTTTCACCTCAGAGTACGTTTCTTACTCACCATTACTCCACATGAAGCCCAACTGACTTGGCTGGTAATGTAAAATACTAGGCAACAGAGTTAGGGCATCAGAATCTTACCATACAACACTAACACAAAAATAAATCTAAAACAATCACTGAAACGCCAGTACCAGCCACCTGGAAGTCTTCTTGTAAACAGCTTTTAAAACACTGACACTTTACAAAGGAACTGTGTCTTTTGGTGGGAGAGGGTGTAGCTAAATTGGGTGATCTACCAATTCTGATCCAGGAACAGGCTCAGACAATCTGAAATGAGTACTTGCACTATAGGTTGTTGAAATAAATCAAAGCTTTTCAATGGAGGAAAAAAACAATTTTCATTTTTATTTTATTTTTAAAGAATACTGTAAACAAACAACATTGCCAATTTTTCAGCCAGCTCAAAAATAATTTAATTTTGCATGGCCTGAGCACTCGAGATCATTAGCTCATGTCATTTCAGTAGGATTGTGACTGCTCCTCCATCCTCCTTGAGGAAAAGTTCTGCAATCTGAGACTCTGTCTTAGATTTTCTATAAAGAGAAAATATCAGGATGTGTATGGCAGGTTAGACTTCCTCCTACCTATTTTTTAGTCCCCAAACAGCTTCTCATAAAATACCTCATCTAGTTTGCGTGGGTATTCTTTTCCACCACTGTATAGGCTCTGGAGTGGAGCCTCATATCAGTGGTACCATAGACCCCTCAGCTCCTGAGCCATGGATAGAACGGATCTCTTGCGGTTCTTACTCTACAAGCCTGCCCCTCCTTCTGGGAGGTTTAAGGATCCCACCCTGCAAAGATGTGCATCTATCAAGGCTGCTCCCCACTCCGGCATTCCGAGTGCAGAAGTTGGGAACCCACAAGAGACCTTAAATACTTTGCCTCTATAGGCTTCTGTTTACAAAAACTCCCCAACATGTCAGATTCCCTGGCCTTGGGAAGTAGCTGCCACTACCAAGTAAACCCCCCCCCCAAAAAAAACCTCCAAATTGTTTCTTCTTAGGCTTAGGAAGGAAGAACTTGCACTTCTTCCAGAAGGGTATCCCTAGGCTTTTTTACCACAAGAGAGCTTGAAAAAAAGAAAAACAGAAAACAAATTGCAATCTCTGATAGCTGATCTCTTAGTGTTAGGCATGCATACACAGACCTCCTGCTACCTTCCAGGACACAAGAATCAAATCATAACCTTAAAGAACATGATTTTATTAACAAAATAAAAAGATATCCCTGATAAAGCATACTTGGTTGCTACGTGTTACAGAGCAAGTAAGAAAGAACAGATTAACACACAGAGAAAAATGTTATCTCTGGGTGCAACTTAGATATAGTGACTGTGAAGCACATGGGTTTAACACAGAGAAGTTTAACCAAACAACAAAACAAAGAGAAATAACCTGATAATGACTAAATATACATTTTTCTATTTACTCACAATCCATACTGATCCGTACTTCCAGGTCTAGTCCATTTCCATGCCCAATATATCTTATAGACATGGTAGTTCTGCCTGGTTCAATTCATCAGGCTTTCACAGCTCCTAGCTTAAAACTCATGCAAAAGAAACAGCAGGCAGGTATATCTTCCCATTTAAATTTCAACAGATTCTGCCACTGGCTTTTCTGGCTCCCTGTCAGCATCCCCTAGTTACATGCGTTTAACCCTTTAGTCACTGAATGCTGGCCAGCACTTCTGCTATCCATCACAGCATCTGATTAACTCTGTTCACTATGAGTAGTCCATCTGAAACCACATACATAAGTCATTAGGATGCAGACTGATAATGTTTATACACGTGTTTTGGAAAAGTATTACTTGTTTATTGCTGTATTGGCCTGTGGATGCTAGCCCTATCACACCCAAGAGAAAGTGAGCATAGGTATCTAATCACATTTGGTGGAGTTCCCTGCTCAGATTCAAACACCCAGAGGAACTCATCTAGAACCTCCTTGTCCCTTGTCACCAGCTTGCGCTTTTTAGGGCTCTGTAGTATGAACACTACAGCTTCTGAATTTCAGTAAGCTAGAGACAAACACAACTTCTGCAAGTGATCATCCATGTTTTAGTGATGAGGAATAATGATCACAGGGACGTTGGTAATTCTGGTGGGGAGTCCAGATTTACAGCGTAACTCTAAGTTTCAGCAGATGAATTCTAACACCTGCTCCCATGCTGATAAGAGCAATGATGCTCAACTCTAATAGGGTATATCTACACTACAGCACTATTTCAAATTAACAATCTGAAATAGTTAATTCGAATTAAGCAAATTCAAAATAATGCATCTATACACAAAAACTATTTCGAAATAGCGTTTTGCTATTTTGAAATAGCACGTCCACACTGAGTGGACCCTGAACCGAAATTAAGGCTAGCCGGAACCAGTGCCAGCAGGGCATCAGGTTAGGACTTAGTGTGTGGGGCTGCTGCCTGAGGCTAACTGAGCTCCGTGCTTAAAGGTATCCTGCTCCCACCCCGGACAGGCAGTTCTCAGGGTTCCCCGCTTGCTTGTCTACCTCGATGAGGGACAGCAAAGCAGTCCTGTCTTGAAGTGCCCTGAGTGCCCGCACTTGGGACACCACAGCACTGCTGCCCTTGGACACACCGGTGTGTCTCGTGGGGTCGTTGCCATCAGCCGGCTGTACTTGCTGCAGGCTTCCATCCGGGGGGTCTATTGGAGGGCTGTCAGGATCCAGGAGGCCCTGACAGACAGCGTCCACCCCGAAGAGCCCTCAGAGCCTCCCTGGTCCTCTCCACCAGGGGGCTCGTGCTCCATTCCTCCCTCACGTCCTTCCACTTACCCCTCCGTAGCCCCCCTTCCTGATGTCAAGTAAAAGACACGCATGTTCAAAAACAGAAACTGGGTTTATTGAACAAAACGGGGGGGGGGATGAACCTCTGGGGAGACTGGGAAAATGAGGTGGGAGAGGGGAGGGGGAAACCTGGGAGGAGGAAGCTAGAAGGGGGAAGCAAGGGGGAGAAGGGGGGGGGG